GGACAACCCCCCCAATGGGGCGCAAAGACCCTCCCCACAAAAGGGCAACGGTGCGGGAGAAAAGCTTGGGGGGTGGGGGGGGGGAAAGGGGGGGGACTCTCTGTGGGGTGTTGTGGGTCTATGGGGCGCTGCAGGTCTTCTATGGGGTGCTGTGGGTCTCTATGGGGTCTCAATGGGTCCCTATGGGGCACAGTGGGTCTCTATAGGGCACTGCAGGTCTTCTATGGGGTGCTGTGGGTCCCTATGGGGCACTGCAGGTCTCCTATGGGGCGCTGTGGGTCTCTATGGATCCCTATGGGTCTCCATGGGTCTCTATGGGGTCTCAATGGGTCCCTATGGGGCACAGTGGGTCCCTATGGGGCACTGCAGGTCTTCTATAGGGTGCTGTGGGTCTCTATGGATCTCTATGGACCCCTATGGGTCTCCACGGGTCTCTATGGGGTCTCAATGGGTCCCTATGGGGCACTGCAGGTCTTCTATGGGGGGCTGTGGGTCTCTATGGGGCACTGCAGGTCTTCTATGGGGGGCACAGTGGGTCTCTATGGGGCACTGCAGGTCTTCTATGGGGTGCTGTGGGTCCCTATGGGGCACTGCAGGTCTTCTATGGGGTGCTGTGGGTCCCTATGGGGCACTGCAGGTCTTCTATGGGCCACCATGGGTCTCAATGGGTCCCTATGGGTCTCTATGGGTCTCTATGCATTTCAATGGGTCTCAATGGAGTCCCTATGGGTCTCCATGGGTCTCTATGCATTTCAATGGGCCTCAAAGGCGTCTCTATGGGTCTCTATGGGTCCCTATGGGTCTCTCTATGGGTCTCTATGGGTCTCTCTATCTATGGGTCTCTCTATAGGTCTCTATGGGTTCCTATGGGTCTCTATGCATTTTAATGGGTCCCAATGGAGTCCCTATGGGTCTCTATGGGTCTCAATGGGTTCCCAATCAGTCTCTATGGGTCCCTATGGGTCTCAATGGGTCCCTATGGGTCTCAATGGGTCCCTATGGGTTCCCAATCAGTCTCTATGGGTCTCAATGGGTCTCAATGGCTCCCTATGGGTCCCTATGGGCCTCTATGGGTCCCTCTGGGTCTCTATGCATTTCAATGGGTCCCTATGGGTCCCTATGGGTTCCCAATGGGTCGCTATGGGTCCCCCCGTGCGTGGCGGTGGGGCAGCGGCCCACCTTGGTGCTGTCGATGTGGGGCCGCACGCAGCCGTGGGGCGCCAGGTCCAGGATGTGGCTGTGGGGCAGGGGGGGCCGCGCGGGGGGGAAGGCGCAGGACATCCGCTGCAGCACCGCCGCCCCCGCCGCCCCCCAGCGGCTGCGCTCCGCCTCCCGGAACCCGGAAATGGCCTGCAGGAGTGACCTCTGACCCCGTGACCTCTGACCCCGTGACCCCGAGCGCCCCCCCCAAGCGTGGTGCCCCCCTGACCCCACAACCCCCAGACACCGCCGACTTCTGCTGGCCCCACAGATCCCCGTGACCCCTGACCTCGGTGACCTTTGACCCCAACCCTTGCTGACCCCAAAGCCCCCAGTGACCCCCGACCTCGGTGACCCCTGACCCCATAGCCCCCAGTGACCCCTGACCCCCCTGCCCCTAAGATCCCCCCACTCCCAGTAACCTCAAACCCTCCCGACTTCCAACCCTCGACCCCAGTGACCTTTGACCCCATGAACCCCAAGTGACCTTTGACCCCCAAACCCCGGCCGCTGTGGGTCTCCCTAAGATGACCCCTGACCCCACGTAACCCCTGACCTCGTGTGACCCCAGGGCCTCACCTCCCACTGACCCTA